AATCTTCTATCCATCCATGGATGGATCCAAATATTAGTTCATCATTTTATTTAGTTTGACAAGCGAATCAAACAGATCAGTGAAAAGGTTCCGAAGCTCAGGGCTTTTAAATCTTTGGATCTGTGCTGAAATGAAAAAGAGAATAGAATAATCCCCATCATTTATACAGGCCATGTGAGGGATAACCAGCCAAATGACAATATTACAGCTTTTCACCACCTCTGCTCCTGTTTATCTGTGGGTAATTGGATGAGGGTTTAGGGAGGTAGTGAGCTAAACAAACAGACCACATCTGGAGCTCAGTCCATCCTTCACAGGCTGGTTTACAGTTACAGTGGAAAGCATCACAGGCTGGGTTAGTCTGCCATCTGCTGGACAAGTATGATCAATTTGTTGATTCACTTACTATCTGTTGCTACTGTCTCCATACATAACGGCAGGGCTGAGTAAGGTACGAAGGTGCAAACAGAGAAAAGTGAAGGGTCAATTTGTGTGAGACGTAAATGATGTGGCATCAGTTCAATCATTTTACCATCTCAAAAGTCATCATCTGATTTCTTACAAATATGTGGCCATGGATACTAGGTGAGAGAATAAGTGGAGCATAGCAACCTCAGATGTTTTCAAAATGGATTTGTCTCAAAATAGCGTCAGGAAGATAATTCACTATATTAGACACAGATTCACCAGTTTCTGTTTCTTGTTTATTGGACGCTGTACACAACTTGTGGTTTGGTGGATCTATATTTATATGTCTGAACACTAAAACCCATGGCATTCATGGGCATTATGTACAGGCTCTCAATGTATTATTACACAGTATGAGTCACAGAGCTGAGCATTAGTTTTTCCACGGAATAATTTCCAAGTGCTCTTGTAATGAGTCATTTTACTAGTCTGATAACTATAAAAACTCTGCTGCACGATAAAAACAATAAATCAAATGAGTAAAAATGTAAATAAGTTGCAAGTGTGGTGAGATGGGCATGAGAGAGAGAGAGAGAGAGAGAGAGAGAGAGTGTGTGTGTGTGTGTGTGTGTGTGTGTGTGTGTGTGTGTGTGTGTGTGTTAGACTACGCAGAATACATCCCGTAAGATGAAAACATACAATAAGACCTATAACCACAGCAGTTGCATCACACTTGCCTCACCCAACCTAAGCTCTTTCTCTCTCACTTCATATCCAGTGAACTCTCAGCAGAGCGATGGAGGAAGGCAACAAGATAGTGAAAGGAGAGAAATCTCAGCATCTGGCATAGTTGCATTTGCCCACAGATGCTGGCTGCTGATTGGGCGTCCTGGAAAGATCGCATAGGAAATATTAGATATGCCTGTCAAATATGATTAATGTCCAACAGCAAAGCAGCTGATGAGTTACAGTAATGAGGCAAAAGACTGCCACTGCCTGTCGGAGCTACAGGCCTCTGGGTCCTCCGATTATTGTATAACCCAAGCATGTGTAATTCTTTGATTTGTGTCTTAAAAATACAATCTCTGCTCTGTCACATTTGCATGGATTTAACTGCTGCTCTGAGAAGAAGAAGAAGAAACAGATGCATAACTACAGTTGGTAAGGTGACGTGTTCATTTCTCCTCTACCTGATGGTGTTGTTGCTGATTGACCATGAGAAGAGTTTCATGTACTTGCGTCAATGACTAAATACTGCAGACACCCTCCTTCAAATTCAATCAATCGAATTTATTTATATAGCACGGTATCACAACAAGCAGTTGTCTCAGGGTGCTGCACAAAAGTCCAAGATCTTGAGAAACACAAAATCCAACTTGTTCCACACCGAGCAAGCATGAGCAACACCTTGTCTCCCTTCGGATCCAGGGGGATCAGGTGTGAGGTCCGCAGTAGGAGACTCGTGCAGTCTATTGGTCAGGCCTGACGAGATGTCCCTCAGCACAGGCACCAAGCAGCAGCAGCATCATCATCAACACTCGACAAAAAGAATGGCCTCTCACTAAGTGTTGAACAAAGCCACGTGCCACCACTGATCTGTTCTCTTATGTGAACAATGTGATGTGCTGAACTAAACTGAAACTGAGTGACGTGTAATCTGACAGGGTGAACAGCTCCCCCCTGTGGGGGAATCTACAGCCTGCCAAACCTGAGTGAATTTGCAAGAAACAAAAATAATCATCAGCAAAGGATAAACTAACTCGACGTATTCACAATTCTTTATTGATAATTATGACTTTTAATAATATGGATGATGTGGTTGATCGGTTTAACTATTTTTTTTAATTAGAAAAATAGGACCTAAGCAGAAGAAATCAAAGCACCACCTGAAGACGGGAGGACTGTCAAGTATCAGGGCTATAGAAATCTAAGCTTAGGGTTCGGGTTAGGGTTTTACCAAGACAATGCCAGGAATTTGTGCAAATATGTGATTATACAGTTCCACATGTTTTGTTGAGTCCCACAAAAAAATTGTTTCTACTCTATATAAAGACATATGTGAGGTATCACGCATTTTGAAATTTGTTTTATTTGCGGATGATACCAATATTTTCTTTACTCTGGGACAAATCTAAAGCAGCTTTTGGAGCTGGTGACAACAGAAATGATTTAATTAAAGATGTTAAATGAAATGATGATAAACAATATCATTGAAAATGTTAATGAAAACATAGTTCTATACTGGACAACAGGATCCACTAGAAACCCTACATAACATATATAAAATCAAAATTTGCATTGAGTTTTAGGAAAAGCAAGACACATTCTGGACCATATATCATTGCACACATCTGATTTTTCACTGGTATGAATTATTGTGTAACACCTACATAACCACTCTGCAGCCACTGCAGCCGCTTACTACAGAAAAGAACCATAAGGTTCGAACATAATGTCAGATACTGGAAACACTAATAATCTGTTTTGCATTAGAACTCATGGATCTGTTGGTAATGAAGACTACGTAAATAATGTATAAATCAAGAAATAATCTACCTCCTGGTAACTCATACATTGATTTTGGACAAAGAGGGGGTTATATCTTGAGAGAGAAATTCAATTTCTTTATTCTCACTCCAATCTCAGACGTATGTGCATATCAATCTGTGGGGTGGTTTTGTGGAATGGACTAAGGGATGAAATCAAATAAACGAAAAAACGAAGACATCCTTTATGAGAGGCACAGAAAACAAGCAGAGGAATGAAAAGCACATTAAAAATATGTAAAAAAAGAAGACTACAGAGATGTAGTGGAGGATGGACACTGGAGGAGAGTAGAGTAATATTTCTTTATCTATTTAAAATCTTTTGAAAGAAAATAAACTGATCTAGATAGTGTAAATGTATGAAATAAGACAGTAAAATGTGATCACCTCATGGCAACCAATGGAAACTTCTGAATTTCAACAGAGCAAGTGAACATTAGGAACAAGTTATGGTTTGTTCGAACTCCGTCTGGTTTTATTATGGCTCTTATTTGTGTTATTACAGCCTCTATGTAACCATCCAGTTCGTCTGGCTTCACTTTGAGGGTGTTTCAGTATAAATGCTTGTTTTAATTTAACAGATTTGTACCTTAAAAGGTTGAACAGAACTTTTGAGAATAAAAAGTAAAATAAGATAAAGAGAAGAGAATTTCTCCCAAATGTCTGAATGATGATGAGTGTCTCTGATGTAGCATCCAGATGTGCCGTGCAGATTGTGTTTCCTGAAGATAAGAACACTATTAGCAGAGTCAGCTCAATTTTACAGAAGCGTGTTTAAGGCGCGCTGTGCGGAAGGTTCAGAGATATAATGAGCAGATATGAGCTGCGGTGCTCCTCTCAGCGTGTTCCCTGTGGATGAGGAGATTCCATCTGGACACACAAAAGAGACAACGTGTTTTTTTTTTTTCTGCTACTGTTTGTTTTAATTTGTTCAGTACTGGAGTTTCATGGACCAAACAATGGCACGACACTGCATTACACTTTCTCTCTCTGGGTACAACTGACTAACACAAACGTTAAAATCACTACAAAAGGACTAAAGTACTCACATACACAGTCTCTTTGCTCTCTCTCTCTTTCTCTCTCTCTCTCTCTCTCTCTCTCACACACACACGCACACACACCTGCTGCTCACACTTTTCGTTGCAGATTCTCTTCCGCACACCACACGCAGCCACTCATTCACATCTGAATACATTCTCAGGAAAACAAAACAGTCAATTATCATTTTTAGAGCATTTCATTTCGTTTTTTTCTCACAGTGAACAGTGCCCACTTCGAACTGGAAGTAGGCTGCACCGTAATATATCTGCGTGGCAGCTGTTTGGCAATACCTGTTATATAACAATATACTTTTTATTTTTGAAGGGTTATCTATCGGACATTTGGGGTCATATCGATTCTCAGGGATGATTATCAGCCAATACCAATAGAAATATATTTTTCAATGATTTTACATTTTGTTTTCAGTGCTACTCAGGACAACATTTGTGGTTTTGTCTGTTTCAGCCATAATAACACGGCTGCAGACCGTTTTCCAAAGCACGAGATCTGTGATTGATTTCCTACCTTCTAAGTGCTGGTTTCATTTCAGTACACTATGAAAGTCAGTGTGCACAGACATAAACACTCCATCACTGGAGATGTTGACTGCTTTTATTTTCATATCTTGTTAAGTAGGTTTGTTTTAGGACCAGCTAATCATGAAGATAAACATTGAAAAATACTTAATTCAAATTTGGAACTGCTTCTCATTTAAAGGTCCAGAAAAGCTGCTGGATGGAGCTTGACGTGGGTTTGTTTTGTCAGCTTCAGAGATTGTTTCATAACCTCACTTTTGGCTGCAGGCTTGATCTTAGAAAAGTCTAGCGTCAAATTTCCTAGAACACACCAACTGTCACACACACGCAGTTAAAAGTAATTATCCCAACAATGTTGCCGATTATTTCCCATAATGCTCTGAAATGAACTGACGCAAACAGCTGTCTGGAAGGTAGGAAACCTGAAGACATGAAGTATACCTTGAAAAAAGGGCTATAATTCATATAAATTAGCACTGACATTGGACTGTTGAGTTTAGTAACTAAGAAGCATTAACACCAATCGGGATGTTACATATGAATTTTTATCGTTTTTCAGGAAAAGCTCTTATTTTATGACTGATACAACACAGACAAAGCTGAAGCTGCAAGTGCTACAGACACACAGACACTCAGACAGGAGAAGCCTCTTACTCCGACTGTGCCCCTGTCACTAAATTGACCTCCAGACCAACACTCAACTCACACTGTACATGTTTTTTAACTCCAGTCACATTGTGCAGATATAGAGTCCATTTTCAATATGCAGTATAGGATTTCATAGACATATAAGTACCTATGGGAACGACACAAAAACATTTAGTTGGGTTATAAAAGAAAAGCGTAGTACACACACCTATTTAATGGAAAGAGAGTGCATCTTGGTGAATGCACACAGTTTTTTTTTTTTAAAACAGGTAGTGCATATACTGTAGTACAGTATGTATGTGGTGCCATCATACAAGAAGCCTTTATGGTGATGCTTCCTCTCTCTGGCAGCTATAGGAAGTGTTTGAGGGATGAAACAGGACTGGGCCGTGGAAAAAACTAGTGGCGGTGGCAAGTTTGATAATGTAAATGTGTTTTCTCTGTGTGTTTCGGTTCAACATACAGTCTGTGAGGTTGTGAGATGTCGATACTTCAGTCTGAATGTGTCCTCGCTGTGTGCATGAATGGGGTTTGCAGCTGCTGTAACAGAGAGATGTGGGGCAAGCTACAGAGTAGGAGCGACAACAGGAGACGGCTGTCTTTCTCTCTCGCCGCTGCCACGTGTGGCACATTTTCAAAACAACACAAAAAAAGGTAACAAATACGCAACTTAGATCTTTTTTCCCTACAGTTTAACATATAAAATTCAAGTGCAATTAAAGTTCCAAATATTAGTTACATCACAGACATTTCTCTCTAAAGTAACATTCTTGTTACTTGCAGGTAGTTTATCTCATCTTGTTATATATCTTTTAAATTAAGAAAAGTACAATATAGACTTTCAGATTCATCCCATTTAATCTTTCCCTGTGCTCTGATGGATAGAGCACCCACAGAGGTGGAATGGTTTCCATTGCTTTCAATATATTTTCCATTTTAAAATGTGTTTTAAGTGCACCGATTGTTTTTTTCATCACTGTCTCATGCACATCAGGACCAATATAGAAATCCAATCCGGGATAAATCCATTCACTCTGTGTGGGCATGTACACCTGTTTATCTCCACACTAACATACATATCCTACATGTATGTATGCCGTGTCTTTAATGTCTGTGATGTGGGCCTCTGCAAGTTCTGACATGTCCAGTATAAATATTACAAAATCAAAACAACAACACAAAAAAACAAAGCAGAACAAAATAAAAAAGAGAGAGGGGGGTGGAGGGAAAAGAGGACAGGTAGAGAAGGTCTAGAAGTCTGGGAAAAGTTAAGAGACAAGAGGAATACATATTTGGGGTGCAGAAATAGGGTTTGACTGAAATGTAGGTTTGCTAACACTGGCCTTTTCTCTTTTCATACTGGGGGTGCAGCTTTAAGAAAACATACTTAATTCCTTTTTTTTTAGCCTTTACAGATTAATATTACCCAATTTTAAATGTGTGTTCTTGCTAAGAGTAAGACGAGAAGCTCAATACAGCTCTAATATCTGTGTTAAATATGATGCTAGTAGACTGTTAGAGGGGTTAGAGGGGAAGATAAGCCAGCATGGCTCTACATGTAGGTACAAAAATAACTGCTTTCATGAGGACAAGGATCGGACCAGGAGTCCTTGCACCCAAGAAACACGGACCCCCAATTTACCATTTACACATTTTTCTTTCTTTTCTTTTCCACACACGAAGCAAACAAGCTATACCACGATAATCTGTGAATTGTCTAGATGCTGGTTGCAGTTTTATGTCTACTGAACAGAAATGAGATTGATTGAATCATCAGCAAGAAAGCTGGCGAGCACATTCTCTCGAAAATGTGGAACTATTCCTTTACTGTACAAGTATGTTTTCTTTTTGGTTTAATTGTGAGCCCACATTTAACATGCTATACCTCACACTGGTTTACACATGACAACCAGAGATCTTTTCATTTATTCGCTTGGAACTGAAGCTTTAAAAAATAATCAAAACCATATAAGCAACACAAATTCCATCCGTATATCTGTTATGAATCAGTACGGACTACAGCCACACAACAGGTCTGTAAAACATGATATCAAATGTGATTTAATTGAAGAGTTTCCTTGTAATTTAATTTACTAAATCGGACTGCTGTAGGTTCGTTCTTGTAAAGTGCCTTGAGATAATGTGTTTTTGCGCAATCCAAATAAAATTGAATTGAATTTAATAGTTTTCTCTTCTAATTTTTCAAGTGACAACACATAATGAGGGTTGGTTACATATGTGATCTAACTTTAGACCTTAGACTGTGCTGTGTCTAAATTTAATAAGAAATTTGAAGAGTCGCTACCAATATTGCAAGATGTTGCACCCTCACTGCCTCAGAGTCGCAAATCTGTAACATACTAATCTGAGAAAAGGAAATCGATACTTATACGTATAAAATGGTCAAATTTTCAAAGAAACAATATATACACATGAAATATAGCAGGTTTCTTCTACTATCGCATAAACCTCAATACTGGCCTTCAAAAACCCTTATCAGTCAAACCTTATAGAAAAAGCTGCACACAGTGTAGGGAGGGGTATCAGTTAATCATGTTTTACTACTTAAATGGGTCAAAGATGAGGAAAGGCAACATGTGACCAACAGAATTTAGGACCAGTCGAATGGAGGTATGAAACGCTAATGAATGGATACATGAAAAATTTGGCTGAGACAGGGGAGAAGTTAATGGATCTGGAATGACGCAGGGTGATGGGGGTCTTTAACGGGACAGTAGGGAGGCCCCGTCTATTTGTACGGCCTCAAGAATCTGGTCACTTTGGAGCGCAGCAGTTTGATGAAGGAACGAGGAAACATCTCTTTGGACTCCTGAGCCGTGTACCTGAAGTAGTTCTGGGGGTGGGCTAGTACGTCAAACAAGGCTTTTATCAGCTTCTTGTCCTGCAAAAAAGACACATGGACAAAGGGTGTCACCACACTGGACATGTCACCCACCGTTAGGATTTTCCTGAAGCTTTATTTTTTTGTTCCAGCAGAACAACCGAAAGCAGCTGACGTATCCATCAATACCTTCAGGATCTCCTGGTGGTTCTCAGAGGCGTAAAGCCTGCCGTCTCGCACTATGTCCTCTATCAGCTGCTGGTAGTCCTCTGAAAGTAGTAGAAGTATTATATAAAACACATGATCTAAGTTTGTTGAGTTAAAGGTTCAGTGTGTAAGATTTAGGTGAAATGGAACTATTGACAGAAATTGAATGTAGAATAATCCTCATGATGTTTTCACTAGTTCATTTCATCTAAATTGTATGAATTGTAGTTTTCTTTACCCCAGATAAGGCCCTTTATATTCGAATACTTTATATTTACATTGAGGGGACCCTCTCTACGGTGGCCGCCATGTTTTTTACATTAGTCCAGACTGAACAAACTAAACCCCTTTTGAGTTTTTATGACAATTAACACTAGATATCACAAAATTCTACACACTGTACCTTTAAGGTTGATGGCACCATGAAAATCAGAAACAATAAGTTGACTCACCATCGTAGGTGACATATGGAACCTGGAAGCCTTTGCCACTGTTACCCTCGTTAGACTTGAACTGGATCCAGAGCTTGCGAGAGCGAGAGGTAAAGGCGATGGGCCGCTCGTAGGTCTGACACGTCTCGTATGTTGTAATGGAGGTGGGGAGGGCTGGAGGAAGAGTGACATTAGTAGAGCTTATTTCTATGCCCTTGCTATTTTCTGAGACTATCAGGGAGGTTTTCAGATCTATGATTTATTTACAGACTAAAAAATCACTAAAAGCCACATGAGAACATTTACTCTGCTCTTTGCTTAAGTGTGTCTGAGAGCAAGGAGGCAAACCAGGTCCTGTGTTCTGGGTTTGTGCAATCACCTGTCAGAGCACCTCTCACCTCAACTGCTCTCGGACACTACGGTAAAATCCAGAAAATTAGCTAAGGAGTTTAACCAGAGTCGGCCTTTCACACATGCGCATGGTTTTCTGCACTGACGTGTTCACAGCAGTACCTAGCTGACCGTTGTCCTCCTTTCAAGTTATCCTCACCATAGTAGACTAATTCCCCAGAGCAGCTCATTTCGTTGCCCTTTTCTTTGTTACCCTGTGCCCATGAAGCTGCCGATCACTTGTCTAACCGAGTCTTTAGGTGCATATCAAAGATATGGAAAGCTTTTTGTAAAGAGTTACGAGCCACCATAACAATAAAAAGCACATTTCTGTCTGTTCCACAATTACGAGCCAGGTCAGAGTGTTTGGCTTTCCTCCTCATTCACTGTTTTTGTAGGTTGTGAAATTTTTCATATCGTCAAATCCCAGAGGAGACTCAATTGGCCTAACGGACGGATCAAATACCTTAAAAAGTCTTTCCAGCTATTTAAGACATTTTCTTTGTGGTGTTTGTATGGCTCAAAATAGCTCAATAGCTATAAAAGAACGACGGGAGACAGTAAATACCATAAGGCTCTTGAGAGGAAGTATAAATATATCTAAACAGTTCACTGACAGAAAACTGGAGAGAGACATTTACTCATGCATTAGAGTATCTGTTTACCACTCTTCCTCATGACCAGCACGTCTCCACACTCGTCCTCGATGGGGAGAAAGATCTCTGGTACCACAATGAGGATCCGCCTCTTATGTGGTGGGTTGATAGTCCAGACACAGTCCACGTTAGACGGATAATCTCCAGGGTAGTTAGGAGACTCGATGTAGCCTGTGTACTCACCCAGCTCACCGCCACACAGTTGGTCTGAGGACAGAATAACAGACACGTAGCACCATAACTACATCACTTCAACATCGGACTGAAAATACAACTATCAGATTCCCTGAAGCTTATTTTGTAGTAGCACTCAGTATCTTACATTTGGATAATAGCCTCAGTTAAATACTAAAACACTTAGTGCAATAAGCAGCATTACTTTTGCAGTGGGAGACATTGGTGGCACCATCAAAGTCAGTGGTAGTGTTCCCAGGGCAAGTGATGCAGTAGTTCTGCCCAAACTCAGACTGGTAGGTTCCTGCTGGGCAGCGGATGCAGCGGTGGGTACTGGAGTTGTAGTAATGTCCAGGAGCACAGTGCACTAAGGAGGGACAAGAAGTCAGCATACTGTATGAGCTGAATGAAAATGGACAACATAAATAGCAGACAATATGTGTGGGCCGGCCCAAATTCGACTCAAAACAAGATAATGTATCTCTATGCTCTCACCCAAGGGGCATGAGACGACATCTGATGTTCCCTTGGGCGAGAGCATAGAGGTGCGAGCTTGTGCAGTGATATCCAGAGGAGAATATCAGACATTAAGGCTAAAAACATGGTGTAAATAATTCCGTTTCAAGGTCAAATTTGAATGACAGGGCTTACAGACACTTGGATGGGAGCAGTATGGAGCAGTATGGAGGCATTTTCAGTTTTTTTCTGTTTGAAAAAGTGGTCCCTAGTTACTTCAGTTGTATTGGATTTGGCTGCAATTGTAACATCCAAGAGTGTTTTGTGGACTCAAACACTTCACCCACCCCTCATACTCACCTGGGGGATGAGTATGAGGGGTGGGTGAAGTGTGAATTTATATTTTTGGGTGAACTATCCCTTTGACCTTGACAGTCAGCAGACGTTCTATTCCTCAAAGGAAATCCGCTCACTGCCACCTGTTCATTACCATGACAGTACAGTATGTGTGTGATCCTGAATGACAAACTGTTCCCCTGTAGCCCCTGTACATTCCTCCTTTACAACATCAGCAAGATGAGTCAATTTTTGGCCTAGGTGCTGATCCAGATGTTTGTCATACCCTCACCAGGACTATAGCACCTCCCCTGCCATCAGAGATCTGCAACTAATCCAAAATACTGCTTTCTGGCTTGTATTCAACCTTCCCACTTTTTCCAACACTGCTCCTCTCCTTCATCCACTGCACTTGATCCTACTTTTTCATTAGCTTCATCGAGTGCTCTGGTGCTGGCCTACATGGCAGTGAGGTGACCTGCTCTTTCTTACTGCATGGCAACACGGAGCCTGGTCACTGCATTGTTCTGCCTCAGGTTATTCAGGCATCCAGTTAAATAGAGGACCCTGTGATTGCTTCTCTTGGTCAAGATTCTACAATGGTGACACAAACTCCTCCCTCATGTTAGGACAGTAGAGTCACGCGAAGCTGGGTTGGAATCAAAAGTAAGAGAGGGTCGTCAACTAACAAGAATAGTTAGTGGTTCAATTCCCACCACCTCAAGTCTTTGGGGAACCTCAAATCTCCCCTGATGGCTGTGTTTATAATAGTGTGTGATAGAGAGCACTGTGTATATAGGCAGCATGTGTATTTGTGCATGAATGGGTATATGCGACTCTTCCTCTAAAGTGCTTTGAGTGCATTTTCAGTTCATTTAAAGGTTCAGTGTGTAGAATTTAGAGACATCTAGTGGTGAAGTTGCATGTCGCAGCTGAATACCCCTCACCTCACCCTCCTTTCCAAAGATGTGGTATACTTCAGTTGTTATAAAAACTCAAAAGGTTTTTAGTTTGTCCAGTTTCGGCTACTGTAAAAAACATGGCGGCATCCATAGAGGACCTGCTCCAGAGGTAAATATAAAGTATTTGAATTTAAAGGGCTCATTCTAGTGTAAAGAAAAAAATAATTCTTACAATTAAATGAAACGCACGAGTGAAACTATCACTAGGATTATTTTATATTCAGTTTCTGCCAATAGATCCCTTTCACCTAAGTCTTACACACTGAACCTTTAACTTAAAGTGTATTTGGAAATGTATGCTAACGAAATGTAAATGTAATTAAAAGGCAGTATTAACATATATAGTCTTGATGTGTGAGATGAAAAGCTTAAATTACACAGTAAAATATCCCTAATGTATTAGATGCTATGGTCATCTGTCCTTTAAGTGACAAGAACACTTCTTTTAAGCACTTCCATTGAAATCTTTCACTATCACTAAACACACAAATCAAAGTGTGTTTTAAAGGCTCTCTCCTCTCTGGAGCTCAGCCACAGTGGCCATCAAATTCTTCGCCAACTCTCCTTAAAGACCATTTGACTTTATTTGATCTTGGAAGATTCCTCATTGCTTCAAATGTGTTTGAGGCCACTGTGCTCCTGGGAGCCTTCAGTGTAACAGAGTTTCTTTATAGCCATCACTTGGCCTTGGCACGGTGCTGTGTCTGAGCTCTGCAGCACCTACCACCTCATGGGTCGGTCTTTGTTCTGATATGGTTTGTCAGCTCATATAGACAGGGATCTACAGACATGACCAGTCAGTTGAATTTACCTTAGGTGGACTCCAATCAAAATGTAGATTTTAAAGGTGATCCGGACAAATGGAGGGCGCCTGAGCTGAATTTCATCTGTCAGAGCGATGTGTCTGAATACTAGTGTGGGAAAATTGTGTTGTGTCTTGTCAATTATGTTAATTTTATTCATATTCATGTTTAGAGTTATGCCATGCCTGAGTTTAGTTCATGTTTAGTCATGTGTGTTTTGAGCACTCTATGTTAAGTTAAACTTCACTCACGTCTAGTCTCGTCGTGGACTTCCTGTTTTATTTTGTACCCTTTTCCCTCTCGTTTCAGACCCTGACTTCCTCCCTTTGTGTAATTTTCCCGCCTTGGTGATCGTCTTCTCCGCCCCGGATTGGTTTCACCTGTTTTCCCCTCCCTCATGTATAAATAGGCCTCGTCTCCCTTTGTCCTGTGCCAGTTCGTCTTGTTCTGTCCATGAGTGTTTATTGGAGTATCAGTGTCGAGTCAAGTTTATGGTCTTTATCAAGTTTATGATCTTTTTCGGTTCTCAGTTTTGTGAGTGTTTATTTGTTACTTTTCATATCCTCCTAGAGAGCGCCTTCTGTTTGTGCATCTTTTTCCCAGAAATAAACCTTTGTTATATTCACTACTGCCACAGAGTCCTGCATTTGAGTCCACCAGCTTTGTGTCTGAGGTCGTTACAAGTTGTTTCTCAACAATCTGTTGATATATTAATTAGCATTAGCTCGAGGGAATAACTTGCTTTGTTTAGTGCATTAAGTGAACTTTGCTGTTACCTTGAACTTCCCACTGAGCTTCATTCAAAGTGAGCAGATTACCATAAAACATTGCTGCAGGTAAAAGGCAGCCACTTAAATCAGAGAGGTGCATTTGTGAGGTGTGTTCTGTGGTTGATCTTGCACTGTATGACTACTCAGTTGCAACCCCAGAACATTTTTGATGAGGCCACTGAAATTGTTGGGGTGGCTTACTAGAATGAAAAGGCAAAATATAGGAACAGCATGCACCAGTAAGGAGTTTCTGGATTAACAAAATATCACATAATAAAAAATGTTTAAGTCATAATGTATTTTCATGTATGAATTCTATGCTGTTATAGTAAATAAACTAGATAAAATAATAGATGGAAAATATTATTATGAGAGTTAATGAATCATAGACTGAGGGTTAGGGTTAGTTAGTTTTTTTTATTTTAAAGAGTAATTATCGGAAATTCATTGACTAACAGAACTGTTAACATTTTGAGTTCCACAGCCTATTGTTTAAATGTATTATGTATATCTTTATCTGTGTTTCCAAATAATTACTGGCCGCCACAGTCTGATTTGTCGCCAACTATTCTGGTCAGTATTTACTGTGCACCTCTTATAACATCTCTGCTCTGACCCCATTTTGGGTCCCTCAGTTGGTCTCAACATTTAAAAATAAACTCACTAATTATTTAGCAGGATTAACACAAACAGTCTGCACATGCAGCACTCTCTCATCAGGGATTGGGAGATGGCACAATTGGGAAGTTACTAAGAGGGATTTTTTTTTGTCATTTTGGGTAAAAGGGGAGAGCATCCCCCCTCATTCACCTACAAATGGTCACTTGGTCAGACAGACATTGATAGCAGTGCAGCTGGCTCCATTTGTTGTTTTCTTTTAAATTAACTTTTGTGAAAAATACATAGTACTGACTTAAATGAATAGTAGCCTGCCCTTTGTTGAGTATCACATATAATAGGGGTGGCCAGCTATTGTATTGTATTCATATCAAGTCTGCAGAAAATCTGCAGGAAGAGTAGCAGGATATCCTCTGCAGGATTCACCTTGAGCAAGTGGGGGGTTGATGAAGCAAAAATGAAAAATACAAAAGAAAAGAAATATCTCTGGATGAAAAAGCGTCGTCATACACAAAGAAGACACCAACAAAGATGTCAAGAGGGGTTTTGGTGATAAGGGCCAACGCTGGTGTCAATGTGCTGTAAACAAAAACATGTGATCTCTGCAGCAGAGGTTACATCTTGCTTCTGCCGTCTGCACCACCCTCACTTCAATCCTGCGGAGGATTCATTGTTGTTATACTGAAGGCGCGAACCTCTCGTTGCATTGTGCATGTACTTGCTCTAAACAGACAGTGTATAGACAGACACCCAGTAGACACAACATGATCGAAAGTGTCTCACACGAACATGTCTATGAAAACAGTGACACGTGTTGACAAAGCCTCACCTTTGGCCTCACAGTCCCTAAAAGAGACGGATCCTTCATACTTGGTCATGAGGCCTCCTCCACAGGGAAAGCAGAGCACTCGGCCTGGTTCAGGCTGGTAGGAGCCCAGCGGACAATGCTGGCATGGACGAAATCCGTCAGCCGAGAAATGGCCCGCTGGACACTGACCTAAGGGCCAGAGTCACAGAAATTCAATAACATTTGATGATAAATAACGAACTCAAATCCACATGAAGAGCTGTGAACATTTACTCTGGCTTTTGTAGCTCAGGATAGGTTTGCTTTAATGTGATTTCCATCAGAAGATGATATTTATGTGTTTATACTAACTCTAAATCAATGCAGCAATGACCCGTAGCACCTATTTGCACCAAGGCAATTAAGTCATATGTTTTAGTGAGAGATGAATGCAAGAAACAAGGCATTTTCAGTGACTGTTGGTGAGTTACCTCCACACTGAGACACGTTCTTGGCTCCAGCAACACCCTGTCCGTCAGTACTGGGACATGGCTCACAGGACAGCTGACCCACCGTGTCCTGGTATGTGCCGGGAGGACACTGCACACACTGCTCCTGCTCTCCACTGTAGAACGTCCCCACACCACAGCTCACTGCAGAGGGAGACACAGGGTAGTACTTCCTGTGGCTCCTAATGATTTTTGTCATTTTGACAGGACAACCCAGTTCAGACCTGGTATTGTCATCCGTCCTGAGAGATCCGATCACAAGTGGCCAGCATTAAGTACGTGTACGACTACCTGGTGTTAAAATGCTTCCTGAATGTGTCTCCTATGACAACTTGTGATCAGATCTAACTTCCCCGCTCTACATGCAAATGAACATGTACATCGTGTTAATTAAGACCAAATAATTTTGTTTTAAGACGTTCTTGAGTTTACAGATGTGTCCGATGTTTGTGTGTGTCTGTGTCTCGGCATGAGATAGAGCCACCAGGAGGCGCTGAATGAATCTTGAGATTTCACCAATTAAAAAAAGTATCAGTCATGATGTCCTGGTCAGTGTTGATATTTTGGCCAATCAGCAAATGAGCACAGATAAGAGTAAAATTAGGTTTATGTTCATAGTGACACTATGGCGGGTCAAGGGACATCATCTGAGTAAGCCACCCAGGAGGCATTTGTATTCACACTGCTAAAAGAATGTGGAAGCATGTGGCCCAGACCACCTCTGAATGTAGTCTGGCGTGATCTAGATCCGATCTGAGTGCGTTCACACCTGCACTGAGAGCTGTGTTAATACCAGGTGTGTACGGGCTCACAGAAAAACATTCTGACAACACACTTACCACACTTTCCCTCTCGAAATACTTGTCCGGTGCTGCAGGCCTCAGCTCCCTCCGGTACCCTGGACGGTTTCTGAGCCACCTCGTACTCTGTCCCAGAGAACTGGATGTAGAACTGCTGTTTGTTGATGGACTTCCTGAGCGTCCGCATGGCACTCTGCAACTTCTGCTTCATCCTCTCCCGCACACAGTCCACATTGCATGAGTCTGAGGCAAACATTTTGTCAGTTCCCACAATCTATTCCATACGGTATGAATTCATATTCATAGATTAATATCAGATATACAAGTGGTTAAAGAATATTAGACCTGAGGCTTCCTCCTCCTTCATCTCCATCTCAAATTCAGCTGTGATGTGGGAAACTTCTTTTGAAGGCGATTTGCGTCCTCGCCGACGCTTCTTGGATGAGTCGCATTTGAGGTTGACAAAAGTTACCTGACAGTCATCAGTGCAGGGGAACTGGCCTCCTTCCAGGTGGAAAAGATCAGTGTGTTAAAATGCAGTTTAAAGATAGCATTTGGCTTCCTCGACACTTGGCTGAGATGTTGTTGACCCCGTACGAGACTCGTTGTGAGAGGGTCTGTACCTTGCAGGTTCGGCTTGGATGAATCCCTGTGCTTCTCCTTGTTGCGAGGCCTCAGGTGACACTTGGCATCTTTGATCTTAAACCTGGCCTTCTGTTTGATGGGCGGCGCTAGTGTGTCTTTCCACAGCAGAACAAAATGGAGGACCATTAATCATGAGATGTGGTATCGTGCCAACAAGTGTACAAAAACATTTTCTGCCCCCTTCATCTGTATTTGGTCTTTCTTAACTATAAAATAACACACCATCTTTCATAACTGCAACGGCTGCTTGTTCATATTTTCCAATCCCAAAGCCTCTATAAAGGTTTCTGCATAGACAAGGACATGATCCCTCACTAATATCCCACCATCATATGGGGAGAGTTTTAGTAATTTGGTTAACACTGAATCAAATGTATTAATTATTTTAAATCAAGACTGTACTATATAATACTTACTGGTTTAAGACTCAGACAATACCATGCAGTATTTCTTGTTACTGTATAGTATTTATGTTAACTGTTGTCTAGGTTAGATGATTGAGTAACTAGCCACCAAATATCTTTTGTGCCAGTTTGTCAGACAGACACAGCAAGTGGAGTCAGTTTGTGCTTACAGTGTTAAAAGTGTTCACAGTGTGAGTTTCTCTCCTTGTTGCGAATGTATAATAATACAGGAGGTGAAGCATAACCCTGAAAACAACATCTCCCATTATTCTTGGCCTACCATACCGGCACAGGTGGGTAAGGCAGTGGTGGCGTTCCTCTTCTGAGGAGCTTTACCAGGCTGAACTGGCACTCCACAGCTCAGTGTGTAGCTGTTCTCTGAGTCTGTAAGATACACACAAACACACACACACATACATACATACACACATTAGACTACTGACCTATTAAGAAAAAGAAAAACTGACATCTTGATAAGAAAGATGAATGTGTTTTACTGAGCAATGGGTAATGGTCAGTGTTGAGAATTAAAAATAATGTAAATGTTGAATGACCTCCTCCAGTATCAGAGAGCAGACACTGTGTGACTTTAAACCCTCTTTGATAAATCAATTGAAAGATCTATGAATCCCGTTGATGAAGACACACACAAAGACATATTTCAAGTAAGAAATGAGGGATGAAACTCTCAGAGGTCATAAAAGCCATTAAATACCTATGAGCCTGGGATGAATTCAGCCACAGGAATTTACATGGCTCCCTCCCCCTAAATTAAAAAGAACTCCAAATAGAGAAAAACAAATATTTCACCTCACGCCTGAGTGCTATCCATCATTCTCACACGGCGGTGGCCAAGTTAAACAGAGCGAAGGGCCACGCTATGGAAAAAGCATTGTGATCAAAGAATGTCATCGATTTACAGATGTGTGTTAAGTAGTAATGCAGCAGGAGATGCCTGGGTGCCAGCCAAAGTGCTGGGCAGGCTGAAGCCAAGAAAACCTCAGAGAGTGAAAAACACATCAGTCTGAGTGGAGAGCCCCCCGAGGAGTTCACAAACACAGCGATGAGGTACTGCTCCAGGGCCTTCATCAAGCATCAGCAGTGTCAAGAGGAGGGACGAGATGAGGAGTGACTGCAGAACGCCAACAGCAGAGGGCAGCAAAGTGTGAAGTATGACAGCGGACTGTTCGGGGCCTCTTACCGTGATTTACAGGAGTGGAACATACATATATTACTGAGGCAACAACTTTTAGATCTGTTCTTTTTCCTGCTTGTCTTGTTCATTCACATCCAGGTCACTTACAGACAACTTCCAGACAAAATACAGACTGACACTTAAAAATCAATATCCCAAATCTGAATTAACAAACATAGAAAAGAGAAAACAATACCACAAGAGTGCAATGATGAATAAATCCAGGGATGTATATTAGTCACTCAGGCTTATGAATATGTTTAACATATAAGATATATGTACATCTTGACTGTAGTTTGGACCACAGTAAGCTAAATTGCAGAACAGTTCTTTCTTTTCTATTTTTATGTATTTATTATTGCATTATACAAAAGATGCTACAAAAAATATTCATAAAATAAGTATTTATTAAAAATAATACACTAAGTTTGAGTCTCCAGTCCTGCTAAGTGAGGCTGTATTTAGGCACACCAGTCCTTTGAGCTAAATGCTCACAATGATAATGCTATCAAGGTCTAACATCTGTGTAAATCCTAATCTAATTTGCCAATTGGCTCTGATAATAACCATCAATTTTAAATGATGCACTAAATAAAAATTAGATACGAAATGGGCTATATTTTTAGAATATGCTTCTTTGTGACTTCAGATTTACTGATGCAAATGATTATGACCATGACCGTTTTCTAGTTTACAAGTTTATCGTCACAGAATATCGTCAGAGTATCTGCCAACCAGCTGAAGATGAATAGAAGCTGGATGATGCTGGGGGTCAGTGACTTTAAACATGGAAGTAAATCTTCAACAGTATGTCTTCAAACTTAGAACATCCACCTGTTTGAGTCCAAACCTTAACCCAGTGGAGAAGTTGTGGAATGAGCTCAGAGAGCAGACATTCTTGGAACATGTCTGAGCTGAAGTGGCTTTATCTTAATGCTTTTGTGCTAACAATGCTTTGAACTAAAGTGTTTGTGTGTGTGTGTGTGTGTGTGTGTGTGTGTGTGTGTGTGTGTGTGTGTGTGTGTGTACCTGCAAGGAAGAGGGCGTTGGAGGGGCAGGAGAGTGAGCAGACTTCTGCCCCTCCATTCTTAGTGCAGGTCAGTTGAGCTCGGGGTGCTGGCTTCCCATTGGGCAGACATTTCACCACCTCTGAGGAATAAACAGAGTCACATCACCATGACAACCACACGTGCATGCCCCCACAGAGGCACACACACACATACACATGCACACACACACACACAAACAGAGTTGGTACTTACCGATACAGTCTTTCCTGTTCCAATGGAGTTTCTGTCCAGGCGGACACACACACTCGTAGCTGCCCTGAGTGTTTACGCAGCCAAACTCACAGCTCCCATTGTTGATGCTACATTCATCTATGTCTGAGACACAACCATAAAGAGCAGTTTTTGTGTTACTTTAAACTGATGAGGTAAGCTAGTTGAATTACTAGAAAGGGAGAAAAGAAATATGGATTATTATAGACAAGAGATGGTCCAAGTTCGAATTCTCTTTCTGTGGACATGTAAGTTCTCCATGTGTTTGCATGGGTTTTCTGTGGCTTCCTCACATAGTCCCATGCAGACTGGGGCTAGTTAAGAAGAAGACTAAGTTCACAGTTAGTATAGATAACTGATGGATTCCCTGTCTTGTTCATGGCATTTCATATGGACCTAAGAACCTGAGTAGTCAAGCAACTTTTCTCCTTGACCTCTTCAACAAAAGAATCAGCCAAGTGTTCATAGGAAAGAAGAGGACAGAAGCCATATGTCATGGAGGTTGTAGCCCATGCTCTGCACAATAAAATTTGCAGAGATGGGAAAAGTCATGGACTACGCCAGACGTCTTGGTCATGAAGTCAAATCAAAGTTGTTTGTTTTTCTTTCACAACATATTTCATCAGCATTTTGGTTACACAGTCCCAATCATTATTACTTTTTTTATTACAGTCTTTAAAGTCTTTACAGAGAATAAAGTAAGTACTCTCTCTACTAAGCAAATAACAAAATACTGGGAGAGAACATATTAAAACCAGGCCATTTTGTTGTTGCATTCGCCTAAATTAAACCTGGTTTCTTCCAGTCACAGAGGGGATTTTGTTATATTGTAAATAGTAAATGGTTTGTATTTGTATAGCACTTTTCTAGTCTTGACGACCACTCAAAGCGCTTTACAGTCCAGTTTTACATTCACATTCATTCAAGGACACTTCAGCATTCGGAATGGGGAAGACTGGGATCGAACCACGACCGCTCTCATGCTGACCTCCAGTGAGGTCAGTCAGTGCAACGACAAAGCCGTCACAGCTACATGATGACTGAGCTACGAGTGTAGGGGACATGCACACAGTAGAGCTGCTTTCGGACATGCACTAAACTGAAAATGTCCAGAGATTCTCCAGAGGGGCTGTATGTTAGAACACAAAAAAAGTGGTGCCATACTCGTAGAGGACACAGATAAAGACGACCAAGAGACACACCATATACCAGTCCATATACCAGTATATAGATACAAACCATTTACCAGCGTTGATATGCTGTAAACACAAACTCTGGATCTCCACAGAATAATGAATATGTGACCTGATGCCTCTGTTTGCTGCGCCACCCCAAACCTGACCACCAGAGATATCTGTTATTGTGAGTCTGAACCCAATTGTGCAGACATTCTCTGGGTTTCATGATTGTGAACGGCTCAGCAGACTCATAGGCTGTGTTTAGACCTGGTACCAAAACGTATCTGGTGATCCAATTAAAAGTGGATTATAAAAAATGTGTCTCTACATGTCTCCAGTGACCACTTGTGATTAAATCTGACTTTCCAACTGTACAGTATTATTATATATATATTATACAACTGTACAACTCAACCTGTTCATTATTTCTGTTCACAAAGACCAAAGGATTTTGTTTTTGACCAATGTATGTGGCTGTGGCTCAGGAGGTAGAGCAGGTCATCCA